CTTTTTTGCAAAGAAATACATTTCGATAACAAGTACATAATACAAAGCCACGTTTTATGCGAGCTCTCGTGACTATGTTACTGAAATACGCGCGTGAATTTTCACGTTATCTGATCACTGGCCACATGCACTCGGGCTTCCAAATCAAAACAAAGTTGTAAGGCAACCAAAAAGTAAACATAAAATAAAATCCAAACTTGTGTTAAGAAAAGCAAAGCCAACAACAGCTGCATTTTAGCGTAACTTTCCTTTCCTGTTAATGGCTACTCGAAACAACACAAAAAGTTATCTCCTTGATCTAGCTGGGCATCTTAGGTCACTTTCCTTTCATAAGTAAACGTCTTTTACCCGAGTTCGAAGAAAATATAATATTTTTCGCATCTTTGTAGCATGTTACGACCAAAAGACCCTTTCGTTGCAGCTTACTAAAGATGGTGTGGCATCTTTTGCTACTCGCTCCCTTTAAAAGCCCAACCACATAAACAAAAGTGGCAAAAACTGCCGTTTTTGTCTCGCCATTTTACAACACGCAAACCTATGAAAATGAAATTCTGTTTTTTATAACCACCTCCTTGGGTGCAAAAAGTGCACCACGTTTTACCCTGTTTTATAATCGGGTACCACTGCTATAGAGGTATGAAGGCCTCAGACAACCAGTTGCAAAATTGTTGAGACACTCTTACGAAAAAACAACGTTTCATGCTTCAAATCGCTGCTAGTCGCAGGTCCGTGAGATATAATACTCACCTCCCTCCTCCCTCCCATTCAAAGTTGTTCCCCAAAGTTTTTAGCATGGTTTTGCAGTGCTAGCAACTTTGATGAGGAGTGGAGGGGGGGTCACAAGCACAAGATCATGGACAGGCCATTTAAGCCAAAATAAGGTACAGTGACTCAAGTACTTGCAACTGGTTGTAGCGTGTTGTGTTCGCCGTTCTATTTGCTTTCTGAAATTGTAGTTCTGCATGGCGTATTATGAAGAACAGTAAATCTGAACGAGTTTTCGGGCCAGAGTCGGGCTTTCACAGTCTTCCAGAAGCCCCTCAAAAAAAAAAGAAAGACAAGTTCCGCTCAAATGCCCCGGGGGGATGAGCGGGCTTGCAACTGACAGAGCCATTTTAACTTGATGGGAATTTTTTCTAGACAAAGAGTGCTGCATTTCCTGGTTGCGTAAGGATTGAGATTACTGTTTGTCACTGTTCATATGCTGTACGGTGACATAGAACAATCCAAAAACGGCCAGAGCAGAGAGGAGGGGGTACACCTATTGCAGAACTCATCTGGCATAACTTTATGTCAAAAATAAAAAATGTTGAAAAAACTGTTGTTTTATAAAGTTTTGTCCTTGTCTTGAAATATTTCATATCATTTTTTTAACTTCTGCATTAAATTGAACTTAACGGATCCCTGATCTCTAGTCATTATATCTTTTGAGCAGGAGTCAAGAAAAAAAAAGCTTTTTACTATGGATTTGCCTCTAATTTTGTGTATGGATATCTAAAATACACGTAAAAAAATAAAAGCGGTTTATCCCACGTTTCACCTCGTGTATGTTTTCTAAAAATCCATGGACAATAAAATTATAATATTCTAATTAGTAAAAAAATGGTTTGGGTGTAGATACGGTGACAGTTTGTTCATAGGTAAGCTAAATAGATCATCGGCCGCAGGTAGACAAATATCTGGGAAACATATACATCCCAAAACATTAACAGCAAGTACCCCTTAAAAATATAATTTAAATTAATGCGCGCACGATAGCTCACGCCTCTGCCTTTCTAATAGTTATTACCCATTGCTACCCATTCTCTAGAAAATCACAAAAACAAAGTCATAATATTATCTTTTTATTTTTTGACAGCGCGACATTATATGCTAAACATTATAATTCCTTTTTTCTTGAGGATTATGCTTTCAATCAAGACCAGAAGCCCACAAGGTAAGGCCGGAACAACTAACTCGTCCCCTCGTTGGTTTAACGAGAAAAGCGCGTGAAACATGCGTGCGGAGGAGATGGGAAGAAGGGAGAAGGGAAGGGTCCTTACCCTCTCTCCTTCCCATCTGCCATTTCCCTAAGATACGGTAACAATCTCCCGCGACTGTTCGTTGACCGCTTCCTAATAATAATAGACGACTAGGGACGAGGCAGGACAAACAGGTGTAGCTTTCTTTGCAGTTATAAACTGGTGCTGTCGAATATTAGAAAAAAAGAAGAGAAATCGTGAAATTATCGATCCGTTCAACAACAACCATAGTATTCTCTTTAAATACAGAACTTAGCACTACTTAAAATCTTAAACGCGAACTAGACATCTCACCTCCTTGTTAGTTTCTGTTGTGCCTCAATTTCTATTTTTCCACACTTTTAAGTTAAAGAAAAGCGACATTACGATATTTCTTCATAAATTTATGAGTCTAATAAAAAAGCTTAACTGATAAACTTGATGCAAGTTCCTTCTCCATGTGTTGCCTTAAAGCACTTTCTTTCGGCCATATTTCTGTGTCAGCGACCGTAGCTACATGAGGCAGACTTGGAGACAACACGTGTAGGGTAGTAGCAACACTTCTGCGTCAGTGGGTTGTAGTACGAATAACCACATCTCAGACGAAGGCATTTGGCACTCTTAAGGATGACTTTTCCATAACAGCATTTCTGGCTCAGTGGGGTGTAGTAAGAAAGGCCACATTTCAGACTAATGCATTTGGCACTCTTAAGGATGACTTTTCCATAACAGCATTTCTGGCTCAGTGGGGTGTAGTAAGAAAGGCCACATTTCAGACTAATGCATTTGGCACTCTTAAGGATGACTTTTCCATAACATTTCAGACGAATAATCTCAGACGAAGGCATTTGGCACTCTTAAGGATGATGATTTCTGGCTCAGTGGGTTTTTCCATCTCAACAGCATTTTCTTAAGGATGGCTGCCTCAGTGGGCTGTAGTAAGAAAGGCCACATTTCAGACTAATGCATTTGGCACTCTTAAGGATGACTTTTCCATAACAGCATTTCTGGCTCCGTGGGCTGTAGTAGTAGCGGCCACATTTCAGACTAATGCATTTGGCACTCTTAAGGATGACTTTTCCATAACAGCATTTGTGTCTCCGTGGGCTGTAGTAGTAGCGGCCACATTTCAAACTAATGCATTTGGCACTCTTGTAGATGACTCTTTCATAACAGCATTTCTGGCTCAGTGGGCTGTAGTAGTAGCGGCCACATTTCAGACTAATGCATTTGGTACTCTTATAGATGACATTTCTATGACAGCATTTGTGTGTCACTGGGTTGTAGAAGTAGCGGCCACATTGCTTACGAACGCATTTGGCACTCTTGTAGATAACACTTCCATGACAGCATTTGTGGGTCAGTGGGTTGTAGAACCAACTACCGCATCTCAGACGAACGCATTTTGCACCCTTGAAGAAGACACTACCGTAACAGCATTTGTCGGTCAGTGGATTATAGTACCAGCTGCCACATTGCTGACGAACGCACTTGGTTTTCTTGTAGATGAGACTTCCATGACAGCATTTGTGAGTTTGTGGATTATAGTACCAACTGCCGCATTTGAGACGAACACACTTGGTTTTCTTGTAGGTGACAGTTCCGTGACAGCATTGGTGTGTTTGCGGATTATAGTGCCAGCTGCCGCAACTTAGACGAGCGCATTTGGCACTCTTCTGGATGACTTTTCCGTAACAGCATTTCTGAGTCAGTGGGTTGTAGTAATAATGGCCACATGAAGGTAGAATGCATTTGGCACTTTTAAGGATAGCAGCTCCGTAACAGCATTTGTAGGTCCGTGGGTTGTAGTACACACGGCCACATTTCGGCAGAACGCATTTGGAACTCTTGTACACGACAGCTCCGAAACAGCATTTTTGAGACACTGGGTTGTAGTACCAACTGCCGCATGTCCGACGGACGCATTTGGCACTCTTGAAGGTGATAGCTCCGTAACAGCATTTTTGGGAAAGTGGGTTGTAGTACCAGCTACCGCATCTTAGACGAACGCATTTGGCTCCTTTGGGGACGACAGATCCGTAACAGCATTTTTGGGTCAGTGGTTTATAGTACCAACTGCCGCATCTCAGACGGAAGCATTTGGCACTCTTGAAGATGACGCTTCCATAACAGCATTTTTGTTTCAGCGGGTTGTAATAGAAGTCGCCACATTTAGGCTGAACGCAACTGGCACTTTTGTCGATGACAGTTCCGTAACAGCATTTTTTGGTCAGTGGGCTGTAGTACAAATGTCCACATTTAGGCTGAATGCATTTGGCGCTCCTGTCGATGACAACTCCGTAACAGCATTTTTGAGTCTTCGGACTATAGAACCAACTACCGCAGCTCAAACGAATGCATTTGGAACTCTTGGAGATAACACTTCCATAACAGCATTTTTGATTCAGTGGGTTATAGTACCAACTGCTGCAACTCAAACGAATGCATTTGGCATTCTTGTAGATGAGACGTCCATGACAGCACTTTTGGGTCAGTGGGCTATAGTACCAACTGCCGCATGTCAAACGAACGCAGCTGGCACTCTTGTAGATGACGTTTCCGTGACAACATTTGTGGGTCGCTGGGTTATAGTACCAGCTGCCGCATCTTAGACGAACGCATTTGGCACTCTTGTAGATGACGCTTCCTTGGCAGCACTTGTGGGTGTATCGATTGTAATATCCACAGCCCTTGACCGCCGGGGCATTTTCTTGAAGAAAATCCTCATCGTTGTTTTCACTGGATTCTAGGAAAGGTTAAAAAAATTTTATGCATATGCATTTTGTAACTGATGAAGGTTTTAGTAGCGTTTTAAGGTATGAAGATGTCTCCTTTTTACTTTTATACTTTTTGTTGATTATAAACAATTATTGGATGATTGTGACATCCGGAATAATCAAGTTCATCTCATAGCCTCATTGGCGGAAGGGCAAATAAGTGGCGAAGATTTGAGAACGCAAAGCTTCACCGGGAGCTTCAAATACCAACTTGAGAGAAATAGAGTACTGTGGCAAGTTACTTCAATCAGTACTAGTACAAAGTTTGGTGACTTAGCTAGCATCCTAGAGCTTACACTTTGTTTTCAATTCGGCCCAGACTCTTTGCTTTTGTTTGTATATGTATCATCAATTTTTTTGCGTGATCGAGGGTTGTGGGGATGCTCGTCGGAAATTTTGAATTAAACCCCTAAAGGAAGACCGATCTGGGCGTGGCCCAAGCTTTTTTTGACCCCAGAAAGAGACCATGTTAAAACACAGACATACTATAGGTTGTCGTGAACGGGTTTCTGACAGATAATCACCGGCTCTCGATATTGTCGTCTACAAATCTGCTTTACAAGATTTACGGTCACAGCTTTCCCAGGTTCTCTCGCGCCTCGATCTCTCGCTTAACCTAAGCGAAAACATTACATAATTAAGAAAGTTTTGCAAAGGGTAGAATGTTCAAATGAGTTTATGTTTCACTCTTACGTGAGTTTCTATGTCACGCAGTGGTCGGTGGTCACCTGTGTACAGCCTCCCCTCCCTCAGAAAAAATCGGAGAAGGGGGGATTTTTTTCGGAGGGGAGGAGGCGGCTGTACAGTTTTATGGCAGCTAGTTAAAGTCGCCTTTCCGCGATTCTAGTTTATAATGGAAACACTAAACAATTAAACTATAACTACCACTCCCCCCCTCCCCTCCGACGAAACTATCGATAAAGAGCTTGAACTTAGAGCAGAAAAATTACCTTAAAAATATATGCCGTAAGGCACTGGAATATATGCCATAATTCACTGGAATAAGTCACCGGGAGGTGTAGTACTAAACGCTAAGACTTTTTTGGGCCGTGACTGACGTTTCGACGACCTGAGTGGTAGTCATCTTCAGAGCCAGAGTGCCAAAACGTCAGTTACTTTCAAAACGTCAGTTACTTTCAACAACAGTCCTATTCAAGACAACCCTCACCCGGACTTTGATATTCCACCTTCGCATGACATGACTCCTAGGTTCAAACCACTCGCCGAAAAATATATGCTTTATACACAGCATGAACGGAGTCTACTCTTACCTGTAATAAGACTGCTTTCATCAGAAGCTTCAATGGCTCGTTCCTCTTCAGAGGCTATGTTTTCTTGATCATTCGTTTCTTCATCCTGGTCTCCCTCATTCTTGATATCTTCTTCTTTAACTTCTCCGGCTTGAGCTTCTACATCGTCAGGTTCTTCGAACTCAGTATTTTCGTCTTCAGCTTCGTCGACTTCGTCTGCGTCTTCGTTTTCAGCTTTTTCATCCTCAAAATTTTCATCCCCAGCCTCCTCGTCGACTTTTCTTTCTTCTTCGTCTTCAGACTCTTCATCTTCATCGTTATTATTATCAGCATTGGATTTTTCATCGTTCGAACTTTCATCCTCAGCTTCTAAATCATCAGATACTTCATCCACTTCGTCAAAATTGGCTTCATCATTATCTTCATCGCCATCACCTTCTTGAACCTTTTCGTCTTCACCCACTTCGTCTTCAGCTTCTTCATCTCTAGTTTCATCTTTGCCATTGCTCTCACCCTCTGGTTCTAAAAAGATTCGTTATAAATTGAACCTGGGACTTACAAAGCGTTTCCATCCCCTACTCTTTTTTTTTTTTTTTTTTTGTTTGTTTTTTGTTTTTGTTTTTTTCATGTATCAAGAGGATTTTATATTATCTGGGCACTTGTCTAATTCAGTAGCGGTTCGTTTATATATGAGACACATTTACTGTGAATTCGGTGAAAATCGGCTCAATTGATATAAGATATATTTAATGCCAAGTGAGGTGTGGTTTAAGTGCTTATTTTAGCTATTATGGCTTGTAAGTTAAAATGGGAAGCAGTACACCTATGATTTATTTTTGTGTTCTATTTTCTTGTCAACTTCGATGGCTACTGTTCTTCACTAAACAAGCCGAAAAAATATAGTGGAAAAACCTTAAAAATCCGCCATGTTAGATGATGTCAATGCTCTCAGATCAGCAGCCATTTGCATATCTATCCCATAATGTTAAATTTATCTTCTACCCTTCTAGTAAGGGTAGAAACTTTTCAAAATGTAACATATGAGAGGGCGGACTGGCTCGGTTCCCCAGATCTCGGTCTTTCCAACCGGGATCTTGGTAAGCGTGCTGAAAATTTTGCCATATGAACACTTTAGCCCGGCCCGGGTGGCATCGTTTTGCATCGCCTGTTATATTTTCCACATTATACGCATCCCATTTAAAGCGGCTGTGTCACGGCAGTCATCCAGTTAATTTTGTTTAGTTTTGCCAGTTATTCGCCCTCAGTCGCTATGGAATTTAAAGTAAGTAAATAAATTACATGTAAAAGACAAAATCAGAGATCCGAGACGAACAAATATGTCTCCTGAGCATAGTTTTGAAGTTGCAAGCAGCAGGGATCAACTTTGAAAAACAGTTATAGGCTGAACAGTTTTCAAAAATCCTAATTTCAATCCGTCTCAGTCTTCTTCAGTTTGCCCATCCGTGGCATCTGTTGTATCTGTTATGTTATTCTAACCTTCTTTTAAAGTTTTAAGCGGTTATTTTTATGTTTCTCTTAATTTAACGGGCGTTTTGTAAGTTCCTAATTTGGCTGAATTTCGTGACACAGCTCCTTTAACTGCAGTGATACATCTTTAAGAGTTACTGAAGCTATGATGGCGCAAAAGTTATAATTTCTGTGTTTCGCCATGTTTGCTTTGTTTCTCAATTTGCGCGCCATAACTCAGTCGTCCACAGGGTCTTTGGTCTTTTTTCAAATCGGAAACGGGCTGAAATTTCTCATATGAACCCAAGGCGAAATTCGTTCCGGTAACCGGCTCATGTGGAGAGTCCCTTATTCAGATTTATGATTAGTCGATTCTTTTACTTATCAGAAAATTAGGAAAGTACAATTTAATATATATGACTTAATTAACAGTTTGAAATCCACTAAGAACTTTTTAAATACCTGTCAGTTGGTTGTTGTCCTCCTCAGTTTCTTCATTTTCACTGTCTTCACCGTCTGATGGACAGACAATAAGAAATTAGGCTTCGATTTCTAAATTGTTAGTCCTTTTTTTATAGCATGTAAGGAAATTATGATACATGATGAACATATATCAAGTCGCAAAAACTAGGTCACCTTTTTCGTTGGTTTCTAGATATTTTAACAAAAAGGGAAAATATTAAAGGGGAGCTCCCGTTCAATACTGACTGAGTGAGACAAGAAACTTTAATTTCATTGTGATGAATTATACAGCCATAGTTAATTGAGTGGAATGGTTATGAAACCCGTCAGACTCCTTTGTTATATGTTTTTGTGGACCTGAAAGTGCACAACGTTCAAAAGAATTCCTATCATTTTGATTGTATTGACCAATAAAAACGTTGCTTTAATTTATTCCGTAACAATTTACCAACAGAAAACAAAGGATTGTGCACTTTCACGGTGCTTTGAACATAAACTGCAGCACTGTTGTTTTTATCACTGATGTTTGCCGCTTTTCATAACCAGTCTTCTCTAATAACTATGATACAGCGGAACCGTTTCAATGTTTAGACCCCTATCAATGGTTATTGCATTAAAGTCAGATTGCTCGTATCAGGGGTTTTCGTCTTTTTGTTGACGGTTTTAACCTTAGAAGGACAGAGCAAAAAAACAAGCCCAAGCCATAGCAGCACTTTTGTAGAGTTAGAATACAATGTGTGCTTGACTTGAAACAACTGTTATTTGGTCATTAGCAGTTACCATGGCAACGTATCTTAAGCACTGATACCTAGAAAATTAAACCGGTGACTCCTCCCTTTTATTTTGGACGATAGCTTTTGGCATTACAAACGAAAAATGCATAACGATTTAAAACGAATTCCATTTTTTGACAATTTGGAAATTAGATTTGTTATACGCAATGAAAATTTCCTTCCCTATTTATACATATTTTTCTTTTTTTCTATGACGTTTCAACTCTAACAAAGTATAAATGGGGGTCAACGGACTTGTTTTCTTGTAAAATGCTTCGAGATCTCACAAATTCCCAAGCAAGTTTTCGTGATTGTAAAATCTGCCCTGTCTTGACTAACGCTAACTATTACTTGTACACTTGCGAGAATAGTACGAGTTTTCTTCCAGTTTAGTAACTTGAAACATCGCCTTCAGGACTCACTTTTCAACATCGGAGACAAAGTGATGTGGCATAGACGAAGCAAGGTAGTTTTCTTCGTCTCTAGAAATTGTGAGGACGCTACACAGTAGCTTTGGGGTAAACATGATCTAGACGACTAAATGTAGACAGGAAGATTTATTGCGGTTAACTATGGTTGTATTCTAGTTCACTGTTCTTGTAGTTGTGCTAGTATTTAGAGGGTTATTGCCCTTCTAATTCCCTTCACGATCAATCGTAGGGCACATCTATTTGAAACTTACGAATAAAGCGTAAGAATTATT